CCCCAAAACCCCAAAACCCCAAAACCCCAAAACCCCAAAGATCAAAGTATCAGTTAAAAACAATTCAGTAAGAAATTTAAATTTAAATGTATAATTGATAGATTATATTCATTCATTCCAAATTAAAAATGAAAATCAACAGGCTATCACAGAATTCTTCAAATCAAAATATCCTACAAAATCAAATCTCCTAGTTAAGAAGACTTGTCCAAGCAAAGAATGATGACTAAAAATATGTGAAAAAGAGCAATGGCCAAAAGAGAACCAGCTCAAAAGTAAGTAACAATGAGAATAAGGAAAATTATCCAATGAACGGACCTGGTTCTCAACCCAGCAATAGCGGAATGATCCTTATGGAAAATAAACTTTAGTAAGAAGAATTGAAGTTCAAAAAAAGAGTAAGGAAGCTGTCTATAGAAAAGTAACCTTTAGTAACATAGGTTTTATCTAATATTACTAATGTGATCAACAATTAGAATGTAAGCAACACACCTTTATAGCAAACTTAGAAGATTGAATTTTAAAGTAATCCTAATGCTAAACAACCTCCCAAATCTCCTATGAATTAGTCAACTAATTTAGCTACCAAGGGATTGAAAGGATCGCGGAAACTAAGTTAAGAAGCCAATAAAAGCACTTTCGACCGCTCGAAAGGCCTAATGGTTATTCCATCTTCATTTAAAAAAGAAGAATCTCAGCAATCAAATATAACTTAGAGTGATTCAAACAGATCTAGATCAGTTCTTTAGAAAATGATTAACCACATTCAGTAAGACCCTCCTGCTACTCCAAAAGATTTTCAGATAAAGAAAAGAAAAAATTCTTTAATTCAAATACCAACCGTATCCGTAGTGACTTCTCCATAAAATATAGAAAGTCATGAATTCGATATAGCTAAGTAACGATCTCAATAGCTCTCTGGAATCCTTGATTTGGTGAAAGATGAAAATGGATAGATTTCTTAGTTTGATACTAATTCAACTCAACACATCAATTTAAGCAAGCAAAACTCTGGTAGTGCCACATTTAATCAGCAGCAGATAAAGTAAATGATCAGGAGAGCTAAGAATAAAAGTTACTCTGATGTCATTAGCTCAAGAGATTTTAATAACAAAAGCATGACTTAGCTGATAACTAATCCTTCACATGGTCTTAGCAATGTCCCCGAAACTGTGGAAGACATACATTTCATGAGAGTTCACGCTAATAACAGGTAAAATTATCTACTTGAGAGGTTTGAGATACCTTTAGAGGCAAGTTAGATTTGGATTAACCCCAAAGAATTGGATAACAGAAAAAAGACAATAGAGTATTGTGGAGAAGTATCTTTATGATTGTTCATAATATCAATAAAAGATGAGGTAAATGTTCAATCCACAGCCCAACTTCAGATATTAAGAATAGTTGATGATAATTCTCCTTTTATTTATAATTATATTTTCAATTCTATTAACTTATTTGCTAATATTATTTCATCAATTATAAGTGCTACTTTAATATACCTACAAATAATCATTCAAATCTCCTGTCAAAACTTATTGAAGTGGTAGGATCATACAATTTGAAGTTCAGTTTGAGATCCTATTCAAAACCAAATAGTTTAGACACTTCTGTCATGAAATCCGTGCACTGCTTACTAGTCTCAAGCTCGTTCTCAATTCCTAGAAATTCGATTATATCAACCCACTCTTCATTATTTGAAACGATCCAGCCCCCTTCTATTATAATCCTTAAGAAGTCTAAGAATTTTCTCTCAGACTCAAGTGGTTTTAAAGTTTCTTCTATCTATCCTCGATGATTATGGCCTTTATGACTAGTGAATCTTTTGCTTATAAATGAAAGCATTATGTTATATTTTTCAGCCATCTACTTATTGATTCTTGATCTCTCAACTTTCTTTTTTTCAATTTTTCTCTATATAATATCTTTTTCAGCAAATATTTCATCGAAATTCCATAAAACATCGAATTTCTCTTTCAATAAAATAGGTCTATCCAAGTCTACTCTTTCAAGAATCTTCAAAAGCTTATCATTAATCTTTTTCCTTTTCAAATCGATCTTGTCATAGTAATTTTAGTCTTTTTTATATTTTTTCTTACCATTTTTCTCTTACTTGCCGCTTAATTACACTGGCAATTCAAGCAGTTTTTCAAGTTTTTTCTTCATTCTCAAATTCTGCATCCTTCTATGATCCTGAACTGTCTTCTCAAAAATATCTTTCCTAATCTAGATCACATCTAATTTGCTTCCTTTATGATCAATTTTGTGAAGACTAGAGTTTAATCTATATTTATTGCTATTAGCTCCATTTGTAGAAGAGTTATGGTGAATTGGAGTATTTCTTTAATTTGAGTAAGCCTTCTCTGGGGATCGATGCAACTAATTAGTACTTTACTCGTTATTGTGATGATAGCTATGATTGTGTTAGAGATGATTACTGGGCGATTTTAATTTCAAATGGTTATCATACTTTGTATGTTCATCCTAAGCCTAACTAATTTAGGATTGAAAAATATCCTTTGGTGTTTATAAATTGGATCTATCTAATATATTTTAATTGCAGTATCTTCTCCAAGTATGAATCCAATGCTTGAAGTTTTGTTTGTTTTTTTGAAGTTCATAGTACCTGCTCTCATTCTCAGTGAATGATATATTTTTTTATTAGCAAAACTCAACAAGAGGCATCATCTTTTTCCGTTTTTTACTGTTAAATCGAGCATTATCGTCTAATTAAAATGTTGGATTTTTAGGGAATTTCAGCTTAGCCTCAAGTGATCTATCGAATTTCCTTTCAGTTATGGCCACTGGCTCAAGCTTATTCATGTCTTTAATCTAATACGATTCGCTATACTCTATTATACTACTTAACTGAGTCTTCGCTCTTAATTGCCTATTATTATATTTTGAAGTAATACCTCCAGTATCAGTAGTTGCGTTTCCTACTGTACTATTGATACTCTACCTTTCTCTATTAATGGTAAACTATCTCTTGAAGTCTGGCTTGACTGAAAATGTTTTCTTTGCTATTTCTATCCTATCTGGAAGTCTAAGGTCTTCAGATTATGGCTGAAGACTAGCAGGAATGTAAATTTATCCAGAATCTAAATACTTCTTTACATTCTCTGAAAGATCTTTATTTTTCAGAAAAGGTATATTCTATTTTTCTGATAAAAATGTACTTGGGAATATGGGTTACCCATTTTTCACTTTCCTAAGATTCATATGAGAATCTGCTACTTTTGCTAAAAGCTCCTGGTATGCTGACTTATCTTGAGATGATGCCACAGAATTCCTATGGAAATTCATTGACTGCCTTTTTGACTTCTCAGATGTTTTCTCGTATTTAGTCAAGTCAAACGATTACCCATCAGTTGTCATTATTGATGAATTGTGATTAGTCTTGCTGAGAGATTTATTATGTTTATTAGTACTGATAGTTGAAATCTTAAAGGTTGAAAGCATTTTACTTGGCATTTGGGTTGAATTCTCCATCATGTAGTCAGATTGAATTTGCTGTCTGCCTGTTTATACAGACGATGCAGCAGTTGCTGGCTATTTCTTAGGAGTGTTCTTTCCTTATGAGTTGAGTTTTCGTGAGATCATAGTTCTGACGTGATTTATTGGGTTCATAGTTGCTATCTTGCTTCTAAGATGTTCTTAATCAATGGCACTATAGTCATTATGAAATGAAATTTCCTGACTGAACTTCTTGATTGGAGACAGTGCTGCACTGGTCAAAGGCTTTCTATTAAAATTTGCAGAATCTCGCAGCTTCAATGCAGCCGAATCAAGGGAAGCTCTCTTGTCCATGAAAGAATGATTCAAGTGATTGTCTATTGATGGTCCTGTTGGCATTCAGCTTTAGTTGTATAACTAGCTTTGATTTATCTAATTATATCCTATTGTTTCCATCAAATCCTCAAAGTTCTACTTATATCAGTTATTTTGGATTCTTTTTGTGATCTGTTCATTATTAGATTCATAGAAATTCTTATCTTTGATTTATTGTTTCATGTCTACAATAGCTTGCGACAATTTTGAAGAGCATTTGAGTACTTCTTTGTTATTCGACATTTATTTCAACCTGAGTTCATTCATTTTCTTTTCGTCTATATTTAAGTGCAAGGGTACTGTTAGCAGTGCTATGGGGATGGTATCACTTGTATGAATGTCTTGAAAATCAAAATCAAGCATACTCATGTCCATTGATGACGTTTTCTACTAGTTTTACTTCTGCTAAGGCTGCTAATTTTACTAATTTTTCATTTATTTTTTCTAAAAAACTTCTAACTTTTTTAAATAAGAATTTACTCAATTATCATTCAACGGGGTTTTGGGGTTTTGGGGTTTTGGGG